AAACATGGGTCCCTTTAATTGTTTCCCAATTGGACAACCCAACGTTACCCACTATAATAATTATTCAAGCTTCCCTTTTTATTCACAGCCCTGTGTACTGTCACCCTTCTTCATTATATCTTTTAATATATCTTCTATAAAAAACCGCACTGTACATTGTAATTCTCCTAATGTCACTTGTCTCTTGTCTAATTGCTGGCACCCATACTGTGACTCGATGCTTGTAATTCGTATCCCAACATATCTTCCTATGCCTGTCAACAGAACTTCTAACTTCCCAGTAAGTTTATCCTGACGGAAAAGAGATTTTGATATCATTACAGCAGCCGTTGCCATCATCGCAGCACTCGCAGCTTCCGCCATAGCCGCTGGGATTGCCATCTCCACGTCGGTTCAAACCGCCCATACCCTTAATAATCTTAGTGCCTTAACAGCCCAAACCTTAAATTCACAACAACAGATCAATGCACATCTCAAATTAGCTATACTAAACCTAAATCAACAAACCTTTCTATTACAAAAACAAGTAGATCTCCTCTGGAACCTACAGGGAGTCTCCTGCCTTCCTCCTTTCAATAGCATATGTGTAACACCGTGGAAGGTAAAAAATGCTTCTAAAACTGTTAAAACCTTAAATAACTATATAAGGGAAGAATAGTCCCCCGCTTTTAATAACTATACCCGCAACCTATTACATACTATTAGAGTTATAAATGAGACCAAAGTTCCAACTATCACAGGAGACACATTTCTCCATAGCCTCACTAGTTTCTGGTCTCTTATCAAATCATGGGGGAACACGGTGGCAGTGTTCCTTCTCGTAGATCTTATCAGCCTCGCTTTCTTCTGTGTTCTCTGGAAACGTGTGGTATCCACACAAAAACATCAGATTCTCTTAGCCCAAACACTCCATAACCCTGCTAACGAAATTTGGGTGTCTCTAATACACAACCAGTTGTAGAGAGAGCTCTCCATGACGGGCAACTGGGAACACTGAGGAGGACACGATCTAAGACAGGC